AAACCAAACACTGGCTCTAGAAAGTGCCTTGGTTGGTCCGTAGTATGCAATTTGTAACTGAATCCTGTACACTGGTACTGCCACTTTACTTCATACTTATACTCTACTACGTTTCAGAAGGAAATATTGTACTTTTTACTACATTTATTAGTTACTTTACAGGTGAAGATTTTACGTACAAATCATGAGATCATTCTATAAAATATGACACACTGTTACAGATTAAAGTACCCAACAGTGATGTTAAATCATACATGTTAACAATATTTAAACATTGCTCCATCTGGAAAAGCTAAACCTTCTAATCTAATAAAAATATACACTCAGTTGCCTGTTTATTAGGCACACTTAATAATCTAATACAACAGTCCTTCAATAAATCCTCTTTTGATGAAGGTTATAGTGTTTTTACCTATAAAACGTTAAGCTAATTTTCCTTTTAAGCCTTCTGTTCTTTTAATTTGAATGCAAATTCAATACAACAAGTAAAGATCTGACTACTTCTTCCACCGCTGTATTTCTGATGTCTTTGGGGACCCAGTTTGGGAAACGTTTCTCAAGGCAGTCGCAATTATGTTGTGAAAATACCCACAACTTCCCCAGAGCCCGCAGCATACCACCATCCTCTGCCAACAACAGCATCCGCAGCAAAAACAAGACACAAATAGCACTTCTCTGTTTGAGTTTTACTTTACTGTCTTCACTACCAACGATAAATATCCCGCAACACAATACAGCTTATAGTCACAGACATGCTTAAAATAAAAATATAAAAACACTGACAAAAATAATTTGAGTTGGCTTTCGGGCTACCGCAAGAATACAGATCCGACATTATTGCACATTTCTGTACATGGCCTGGTGTAAAATTTTGGCAAACCACATGTCTATAAAGTCAGGACTGAATGTTCTCTTCCCCATGTGACTCCTGTTATGAGTAATGGCCCCGTGTTAAGACTGAGTGATGAAACACAAGCAGCAGGTCAAAAAAGGTTGTTTTACAAAAAGAAAAAAAAGAACATAAGGCAGATTATCTGAACTTAGACTAAAAAAATAATCCTCTCAGAAGATTCAAGCCAGAGAAAACTAAAGCATCAATGAAACAAAGGCCCTGAAATACTGCATATGAGTTAGATATTAAATCTATTACGTTATTCTTTCTCTCAGCCATCTATTTCCACTTACTAACAATGAAGTATAGCCACTCTTATGTAACACAAGCCCTGAATGAGAATACACATTGAAATAATATTGCTTTGGTACACACAAATCCAAAATGATTTATGATACAGTGGAAAATCTACTGATTAATGACAGTTTAAGGCAATGTATTAGACGGTTACATACACAAAAACTGTCTTTTTAGAGTTGAGTTGTGGGGCGATGTAACCTGCAGACAGAGCTCTAATGGCCAGTATCTGTCTGACTGCCGGTCTGCAAAAACTAAACAAACTGAAGAAATGTGAGTTGAAGAAGCTGTTTTGAGAATTCTTCCTCCGCTGAAACATATTAAAAGGATGGGTTCACATTTTCCCCATGTCCATATGTACACTGAAACAGTTTTTGCTTGCAGTAATCATTCCTCCTGTTCATACTGGCCGTGAAGAGATCCCTTCCTAATGTGCTTCCAGTGGAAGAGAAGGGGGACAAATCCACAGTCTTCGTTCCAGGACCGAAGCAGTTGAAGCTGCTATGAGGTTTCAACAGTCTCACTTAGCCAAATAGAGTGAAACTTTAAAAGTTAGTGTTTTTAGTGTGACAGTGTTTCTGAAACCCACATGAATTGTCAAAGTGGAACTGCTGAAGCCTAATGTTAGCTTCAGCTACACACAAAATGAGGACTGTGGATTCTGTCATCTCTTACACAGGAAGCACTTTAGGGAGGCAGCTTTTAACAGCCAGGATGGGCAGGATGAATGATTACATCCAGTAAAACCAGCTTCAATGACATATGAGTGCCTGACTACTTAAGAAAATGTCATATATAGTAATAAATTCATAGAGGTCACCTACAATGACTAAACATGCATCTGCTCATGTCTGAAGCCTCTTTGCCTGAGCCTGCAGCTGCCTTGGAACGATGGTTAAATGCTGGGCTACGTGTAAACTAGAAAAGACTATCCACCTATAGTACTGCTGCTTAGTTAGTAAAATAAATCATGTATAATATTGGCAACTTGCCCTGTAAAAGTCTACACACATGTTTCAAATGAAACAGAAAATGTCCTCTCAGTGACGGGAGTGTATGCATCTGCAGTGTGCATCAGTAACAGTAGTAAAGTTGAGAGCGCAGACCCCTGAAGGTGTCGTCATCCTGCCCGCTGGCCTGCTCTCCTTCAAACAGCATGGAGTCTGGGAGCACCACGCCCTCTAGTGGATCCGGCTGGCAGAACTCCACTATAAATTCCTCCTCACAGTCCAGCAGCAGTCTCGACCACGCACACATGTCCAGTTGGCCCGCGGTGCCGCCGTACTCCTCCGGTAGGACCGAGCGGGGGATGTTTCGGTGCAGAGAGCGCAGGTCCGAGCCATGGAGGATGTACTGTGTGAGGAGACAGCACAGACACCCTGTCAGTGGCTGGAAACAGTTCATGTTGTGTGAAAGGTGTCCCTCATAGTAATGAACCCAAAAACAATTATCACACTGCAGTTTTACAGCTCACAAATTTACTGTTTCGTGTTCACTCTGGTTACTCTCATAGCTCAAGTTTTCAGCCGCAGCAAGAAGCTGTTTTCAGTAGAAAAGCTCTAAAAATCTTCCCTGACCAGCACCAAACGTCAGACAAAGTTAGCTGGTGAACATAGTGGATAATATTCTCCTCTGGCACTGCTGCAGAAAACCAAACCTACAGTTAATACTGGACTCACCACGTGGCCAGACACATGAGTCTAAATGCTAATGCTGTCGTGTATCTGCTGATTGTTTAAATAAGCAACTGCATGCAAACATGTTTCCGCTGCCCCCAAATGAATAAAAAAAAAAAAAAATCAATTACTGCTGAATTAAATGAAAACTAAGCAACCCCTCCCTCCTCTCATGAGATTTTGAATATGTGGCTGTGTTTCTGGTGGTCCGAGTTCATTCCTGTGAAAAGAAAATGCTTGGCCTTCCATTTTTACAGATGAAAATAGACTATTATTTTGGAGCCCGGGCGGCAGATAAAAGGGAGGCACACAATTCAAAATAGACCTTTGTTTAACACAAAAGAGCCAGAGACTATTCAAGGACAATAGTTACCCTCTCTGCCATTTTCTCCTTCAGGAATGGCTTAATTATAGCGAAGATGCCTTTGAAAATCCGGGGCTCGTTAATTATGTTAACAGCCTTGATTCTGATTGGAAACCCATCCTGAGAATTAGAAGAGAAACAGAACAGTCACAGCTGGTCCTTGTCAAACGTTTCACTTGTGTTTTTGTGTGATTCTGTAAATATTACACACTCTGCAATCATTACAAAACTCCACAGGCAGTGCTCAAGAGCCACTGTCATGAAAAATTGTTTCTCATATTTTGTATTATTACAAAATATAATTACATTTTGAGTAAATGCTGCATTTTTTTATATATCTATTCCAGAAATACATACATTTAATTCAAACATTAAAGTGTCATCACATCATCAGCTGTTAGAATTTCTCACCTGGAGGATGCTCACAACCTTTTTGGCGAGGAATGGGCCTGGATTGGATGCTTGTGACATGCCCACTCCGGTGTAGTCGGCTAAGATGACGATGCCATTCACCTGCGTTTCCTCCGGCTGGATCAGCTTCTCCAGAGTCAGATAAATGGCCCTCACGTTGTCAACAAATGGATAATCATTTGGTTTCCATTTTCCTGTAAATGGAGATTGAGTTGAGTAATACATCATGAGTAAGACACGTCCTGGAAGAATAATCAGAAACTGGCTATTAGTCACACAGCATGTACTTAGAGATTTGAAAAAAACACACTGAGTTTGAGGTCTGCTGGATAATGTGACAGACAAATGGAAAACAGTTATCACAGAGTGGTCCATAAAACTGCTTAATTATAAAATAAAGACGACAACAACCTGGCCGGAGACAGAGGATGTATCTTCCGTTGGGGTCAGGCTGTGGCAGGACTGTGAGAAAGCCCAGGTCCAGGACGTGTTTCACTGTGGATGGCTTCAGGTCTTTGAACACCTCCGGCCAAGCCTTACGGCCTGCGTGGTAGTTGAGCAGCAGCTGCATGGCACGGTCATAGTCAAACTTCCTGGCCCGCAGGAAGCGCAGGAGAAAGGAGTCGTCCAACCTGGTCCTGAGATTGGGCTGTTCCTGCAGAGTCAGGTGAAAAATATGAGCTCAGCGGACAAATAGTCACCAAAAACAGTCAAATTCAGCTAAACTTGGAGTGTATAGCAAAAAAAAAAAAACGCTTCAAAATAACAGCAATATTATTAACGGGAGTCTGGTGATATTCTACATTTGTCTTATTGTCAGAAACGCTCAACAAAAGACCAAAACCAGCACTGAATTGATCCTATAATGATATTTGCAATGTACAAAGATAACTTAAGCCTGATATATCTTAGGTGGGTAACACGTTCCTTCATTACAATGAATATGGTCATTGTAGTTTATTTTAATTGATCCCTCACACATTGTGCAGCTGCTGTAAAAACTCGGTGATATGGTAAATATCACATTACAGGGGTTACAATATATTGCAATACTGTAAGCAAGGTAATATATAATGCATTTTTTTATAGTATAAAGAACACCCCAGCATATATACATTATTTGGAGAAAAAAAAAAGTATATAATGATGACCAACTTTCAAAGATTTACATTGTCAGTAGGAACATAAAGTATTTTTGCAGGATTTGTTGGCAATAATGATTGAAGAAGATCTGTCTCTTCTTTAGACCAAAGCATGTCTTTACCTTTACTGGATGCTAGTAATTATAATCATTTTTAGGTGTATACAGATTGAAAATATCATGTAGTCTCAGCCTACCTTTCTTCTGTTGAATACAAAAATAACAGATGTACAAGAGCAACGCCTGTTTATGATCTAAAACGGTAAATATGTGATCAAAGAATACAAGTTTGAGAGGGACAAAGTCTTCTAATCTTAGGGATGTTGTCTCCTGCTTTAAATGTTACTCGCAGAATGAGACTGTTTATCTTTATATGAACGTCAACATGGCAAAAAACCTTCAGTATCATGTCTCTCAGCGCTTGGACATCCCGGAGACGCCACTCTGGTTTCTCCTGGAGCTCCTCCCGTGCCTTGGCCACCAGCTCGGGGGTCAGGGTGCAGGTATAGATGGGTGGAGGGGGTCCAGGGAACCAGCTGTGTCCTGCAGCTGCTGATGGGTCCACTGGAGGAGACCTGAGATCGATGGACTCATGCTGATCAGCCATGGACTGACTGGGTGAAGCTGGAGAGCAACACACACACACACACATGAGTCACCAGAGAGGCTATGAGAGCTGTCACATACATAGTGTACATCCAGTAATATCACTTTTAGCTGCACTGGACAACAGATACTGGAGATAAAACGCTCCCTGATACCTGAGAAGAGAAGGAGGGCTGCCTACAACACCACAGCAGCGCAGACATGCTCATATATACACTGTAGTTTATTAGTTCAGCAATATGAGTCACACAGATGGCTGATATAACCTGAACCTGAGCAGAACCGATGCGACAAGTCAGAATAATGACTGAATACCAACCCGAAGATGCGTTTAACTTTAACCGACTAGGACACACATAGATGCCTTATGTGAGCATCCTTTGCCAGGTGTTGAGATGTGATCAGAAATGAAGCTGCGACGACCCAAAAAACCTGTCAGAAAAATCACAACCGACCTGTCAGGAGAATCCTTTTTCCGGGTACAGAAATGGCGCTCTCTCATTGGTCCTCAGAGCAGGCGTACGTACGTCTGTTGTTTTGATGGTGGTGATGCCTTTAGGTGTCCGTCGGAAAGTAGCCGAATGCGACAAAATGAATCAAACAAATGTTACAATACATTGTTTTTCGCGGGTGTTTTGTGAGTCCCTTGGGTTTTGTTTTTTTTAAATGTTATATGAAACTCCTTCAAAAAAAGTTATTCTCACAAATGACTAACGTACGTGATAAGATTTTACTTAATTACCGCTTCAGCTTTTCACACAGTTTCAGTGAACCTGAACTTCACATCTTGCAAACTAGTATAACTAAATTCACGCTAACATTAAGGACTATATTTACTACAACACGTAATAGCATTCAAATAAAAACAGAGCCTTGAATTTTTATAGTGGTTAAGATTGTATTTCTATCTATCTATCTGTATTTATAATTAAAATATTGATTGTATATTCTTTTTATCATAATCATAATTAATGCTGTATTTAGGTTATCAATTAAACCATTTCTACAAAGAGGGTTGACCTAAATTTCTTTTTCACTTTTTTACGAACAGGTTGAATGTATCAATTACACTTGAGTGCAGCAGATGGCAGAGTTTGCCTGCATATTGCTCATTCTGCATCCCTGTCAATAACCAGCGTCTCAAGATCTGTCAGGTATGTTTTCTGCTTCAAGTGATTTTAAAATTAAGAGTTAATAATAATACATCTAACTAATTTACTCATATTTATGAAAGTGTTTGGTGATATGGTAAGAAAGAAAGTAGTGTACTTGTAGAGAGTACTTTACTCAGATATTTTTGAGGATGACTTTCATGTCTGAAGCACTTTTTGTCATTTCAGTCTGTATTTGAGTCTAAATGCAGCGCATTCTCATTAGTATCAGCTAGAGATTTTGTCATTGAATGTAGAAATAACTCCTTGAAGTGCCCCCCACCTCTCTCCATCTTGAGTCAATGCTATCTATAATGATTTTATGGCACTTTATCAGTCTGAAGCAACATATTGTATCAGGCTATCAGTGAACAAGCAGCACTGCCACGTTGGACCCATTTTTTTCCCCCTCCAGAGACCAATCCAACATGTCTGATTTCTTTATTAAGTCGTACCATTTGTTATTCAGAGAATCCCATTCATTCTTCAGGAGACTCCTCTCTTATAATCACAGTTATATAAAACATGGTCTGAAAATGCAATGTAAAAATAGACCTTGAGATTTATTAATTCATCTTCACATTGTAAGGCAAAACATTGCCTGTTTTTGTAAGGCAGTACAGGTTACAAGGCACAATTTATTCCATCAGTTAAACCACGACAAAGTACTAAACAAAAAATATAATATATTTTTTTTTAAAAACCAATACAACATATTATTGGGAAACTTCCTCAGTGTGTCTGCCTGTGACTTTTACAAAGTGGCACTGCAGACTTCACCATTCAATTTTAACATGTTCAATTTTTGCTACTGTAAAGTACATAAAACAAACCACAGATATTTTAGTCCTGTCACAGAATTTTAAAAGAGACTTAACTCACTCTTGGGATTTCCTTTAGCTTTGATGGAAAACATTTCCTACTCAAAGTGGACACCATTTTATCACTAATGAATATAAATTAAAAAACTGTGCAACACTAAATAAACGACAATGTAAGGCCTGTTGTAACATTCATAAAACACTGACATGATCACATCACCATGTCTAACATAAGCCTTACTGCACACACTGAGGTCACGCTAAAGGATGTGATGTTACCCAATAATAAACTATATATACAACAAACGTTTCTATGTCAATCCGGCAGAACATGACTGGATATAGCTCTGACGCTGATAGTTTTGTGTGGGCTTCGCTGAGCTGTTGGAGTTCAACTGCAGCTGCATTCGTAAAACAGATCCCTGAAGAAAAACAGCAATCTGCAAGGGACATCATTGCAATTACATTCTACATATTTAGCTACTTTATTGTTTAAGTCAAGTTAACAGCTTCAAGGCTGATTGTGTATAAACTTACATATAAAGACCCTGGTTTAACACAATAAAAAAAAGCTGAAGGAATAAGGGTTAAGAGGATTGTTAGATGGCCTCTTGCTTTGTAATAGTAGGCTGAGGGATGGAGGTTGGCTGCTTAGGCACGGTGGCTATGACCCCCTGAGCCATTTTATAATGTTCTGAGCTGGAGGCAGTAGGCGGAGACGGGATTGGGGTTTCAGGAGTGGCTGAAAAGTAGAACACAAGAGAACAGGAGCGAGTTAGAGGGAGAAACTGCGGCATAAGCAGGTGTATATTTACCATTCTGTGGTATAACATGTCTTGGGGTAACACAATTTTCAAATAAGGAATAAGCACTTTTGTGAAATTTCTCAGAGCATTAAACATGTTAAGAAAGAATAACAGAAGTTCTCTTTGACAAAATAAGCCAGATTAGTTTCCATGAAGAATTTAGAGGATTATTCTGCCAAGCCTGTTTGTCCTTCCAGCTACCTGACCAGGCTGCACATGGAGCTGAGTGAGGACAATTTGTCAGTCTTTGTTAATTAAAATATAATTTTCAGTTCACTTAGATAAATGTTATTGATCAAGCTTGGATGGACAAAAAACTCCAGACACAACAGTTGTACTACACTTTTTGTACTGATGTTTTTTGTACTTACAGATTTGACCATTATGGATCGGCGTTGGCATGTTGCTGGCCACTATAACATTGCTGCTGAGGTGCTCCTGAACCAGGTGAGGGTGCAGAGAGTGAGGTGCATGTGGAGCCTCATTGGCAGAACCTAGGAGACAAAGAGTTTATTTACTACAGCATATCTGACTGCACAAAGACTGCCAGAGTGTCCTCTGTTGTCTATATTGTTCCACCATGGCTGGTTACAAATTATCTGAAAGAGCTCACCTCCAAGAAGCATTTCTTGTAGTAGATTGTCAATCTTGGCCATGCCAAAGAGTTTGACGAACTGGATCTGTTCAATCATTTGCCAGGTGATGCTCTGTAGCGTCGGCAGCAGCAGGAGCAGCTCCCCGAAGCGGCCCCGGGAGTCGTACTGCCTGTCGTTGATGTAGTCTTCCAGGCTGACCTGGACCTGATATCGCATCCGCTTGATCTTTCCAGGGTCACTCAGACCTTTAGCATCTGTGGGCAAATAAAAGCAGGGGTGTTTACAAAGAGAAGTGTGTTAACTTTTCGTCTGCATCTTTAGACGCCAAAGCTTTTGAACTTCTTGCTGATATTATTGGCTTGAAAAGTAGCCCACACAACCAGATCAGTCAGTACCTGGGTCAAAGAAAACTATGGCTTTTAAACAGGCATATTCGTTGTCGTCTATCTGAAGCTCCTGGAAAGGAAGCACCAGCTCATCCAGTATTCTCACTGCTACCCTGCCCACCTCCAACTCTGGGCAGTTTCTGGGAATGATGTAGTCATTTCCTGCAGGAGAATCACATTTTAGGGAGAGATTTTAAACACTTTTTTTAAGTCCAGGATAGATAAGGGCGATGAATAATGGCAACATGAGTGTGGTAAAATACTCCTTCATGTGTCAGTTTTACCTAATAAGAGGATGTCTTTGTATAGCATGGATCTCTTTGCAGCGCCGAGCAAGAGGTGTTCTCCAGCATGAGCTCGCAGCAACGCCACCTGAAATACAGTGAATACATTTACTTATTAGCTATGTGATAATAACTCAGTGAAAATCTGCAAACCTCTACGTGTTCATTTGATTGTTTTGGTATTTTATGGTTCTATCTCTTTCTATAAAGTCCCCAAATCTGAAGCTCGCTGAAGAAATAAAGAGAATAAACCCTGGCAGAAGACACTGGCTCTCTCACTGATATAACATCAGCAAATCAGTTACCAAGGCCTGGTGATCACACTGTTAATGATTCTGCACTTTTCTGTAAGGGGGGATATAACTTTAAAACCAGCTCATTTAGGATTAAAATACATTAACTGGCCTGGTTGAAGGATTGGAAGTTTTGGGTGACAGAAAAAAACCCTCATAGACTCCTCATAGAGATTTTTTACATGATCAGAATCAGCTTTACCAGCCAAGTATTTGTGATTTTTCGTTGCTCACAAGAACAACAAAGCAAGAGTAAACATGAACATTTAACTATTATTAATTACTTATTTATCTGCTTTCTACTTTATTTTTAGGTATTTATGAAAATTCACTGAGTCTATACCCATGTGCTCCTGCAGCTCCGGTTTTGAGCAGACTGGTTGATGAGTGACCGGAGTGTCTATACAACTATGTACACTGTGTCTGTATATGAGTATTACCTGGTCATCCAGGGGCAGGTCACAAAAGGCTGGGATGTACTTGGCCCACTCCACCAAGACCAACAGCTGCTGTTTCATGGACTCACACACGTCCGTGATTGTGGCGATCTTTTTGGTCCTGATGTCGCCGTTCAGTATAGGAGCCGGGGAGGTGATCTGGACAAAGCAGTGCAGACGTGAAATCATTTGATGCCTTGTTACAGGCAATTTATTAGTGATTCCCAAAGATGATTTAGGAGGTCTTACCTGTCTTGACAGTACGTCTGCCTGGATGAGTGCGTTGATGGATGGTAAACTGCTGTCTTCGTAGCTGGATCTCCTGGTGCTGATTCTGTCTCTTTCATTCTGCACAGCTAAAAAACACACACAGATTCATCACTGTTCAGTCGGTACTTGGCAGGAGAATAATGTGCAATTTTAATTTAATTAATTTTAATTTCACTAAGTGAATTTAAAAACCAGGAAAACAGTGAAAAATGTTTCATCTGTTGCACAAAGAACACAGAGTCATTTAAAAGAAAAATATGTCTTCAGAGGTTGTCGTGTTTATCAGTATATGGCCATTATTGCTCAGAAATGTTTGCTCAGCATAAGCTGGTTAGAGACTTCTCCGCTCCACGGAGTGAACATTAACAAAGTAGTACTCTCGTGGGTATTGCAACACACTCTGATGAGTCAGTTCAG